ATTCATGCAAGGACCAACATCGGTTCTGTAGGCTTACATTTTACCTAATGCTTGGCTAACGTGAATATAGTAACTCGATATTCCCTTTGCTTTTCGCTATCTGCCGTCTTGTGTATTTTATTTACTCAGAATATCTTATGCAAAGCAAGTTATAATATGGTACTTGGAAAGAGGGAAGAAATATTTTAGTCTTTTTTAATCTTCAAAGCCTGGAGGCATTAATTCACCCTTGATTTGCTAAGACGGAAAGAAAGACTAGAATAACACAAAGAGATGAACTCAAGTAATGAGTTAAAATATTTATATACATGGGTACACATGCATAAGTAATACTAAACATGCAATATAAACACACATACAGGCATACATAAAAAAACTGGATGTACTTCTACTATGAAATTTAGCCAATCCCTGTTGAAGACGTTTGTTCAGACACATTTGTGTTTGTTCAACACCCACAGAGGTTACCTGTGGTTTATATTGATGCAAAAGCGGACCTTAGTTACAGTTCTGATCGGTAGCACATTATCTGGCGTGATAACAGTCTGAACAAGGTCAGCATGCTCAAACACTCAGTCACGATGACTTGTGACGTCGTGCGAACACAATCATCAACGGATCCCAAGGAGTACCATCTATCTAATTTCACTCACATGGCTTGGGTCAGCCTTTGGTATGATTTTCAGGCACATTCTAAAGGCGTCGCAAGCTGGGATCGTCTTCCCCAGAACGATAATATCAAAAAGTCACATTCCTGATAACTCGATTATAATCTGATTCGAACCGGGGTTTCATTGTCAAAACGGTTTAACAACTCGGTGAAGTTTCCAAGAAAATATGCGGTATTACAGCTTTATTTGTAATTATGGACGTGGAGGTGGGGTGAATAATTCTCTCGACAGCTGTGTATCTCCAAAGACAATATTGATAAATGGAAGGTCAAGAGATAAACTTGTTTTTGCAACGCGCTTCGTTCCTTCAGCAAAACGAACGTCCAAATGTATTGAGAAAAACCAGTATTTACACAAACAGAACATATAATAAATAAATACAGTTCTTTTTAAATATTTAATGAAAGGCATTGCAAAAATAAGTTTTTCTCTTGTCAATTAAGCATATACCCGAAGAGATTTTTTACGTGAAATGGGACGAGTAAAAAATCAAGAAGGACACAGTCAAATCCTGTGTTATCTTTCTACTTGCTCTTTCGTTTCCATCCAATGAGCCTTTTTCTACGTGGGAAGTAAAGCAGTAACTGTATTAATTTGTGTGCAGAGAAGCCAAACAGTTACTGACTATGCACTCTAACGGGCTGTCACTTGACTTTCAAGAGCCCCTTAAGCCAAGAGTAAATTCTATATGTCAAAAGGGAGAATATTGCCTTCTGCATCCATATACTAATAAATGCCTAAAATTTCGCCACAGATATTTGGCGGATACACGTTTAGATATTTGACTAAATATTGTATAAGTATCTAAACAAAATTACTGAGTTATGAAATTATTTCGATGATATTGGAAAGAGTCGTTATTTTTCCAAATTAAGTCATGTAACCGAACCATTTTTTTTCGTTCGCTTGTAAAGGAAACTTTTCAGTCGATCCAATTTTCTATCCTATTTCCGCACACATCGCGTAAGAAAAAAAAGGGAAAACTATTTCTTCAGGAAATATAAGCACCATAGAGGTTTTTATTAATTTAGAAAACGGATTGATCTATCTCAGTAGCGTTAGAAATACAACCAAAACATTAGAGACGATTCTACAGTATACAATTTGATCAGCGTGCATATCGTTTATGGGATGGGGTAATAGATTCGTACTGAGGATAGTGCGCAATAATCGATAAAAGAGAATAATATAAACTAGTTATAATAATCTGATTGACTCTGTAATGGTGGATAAATATCTCAACCTTACCACAGATCTGCAAAAGTTACTTAATATGAAGATGACTGTCGTCCTAGTCGTTATCTGAGCCCTGGGAACAGCTCTAAAGAACCTAGGAAAGAAATTTACAGGGAAGAGTTGTGTTCAACCAGACAATGGCTTTTCTGAAAACACTTACAATACTGAGAATAGTGGAGGGGGGTATTGAGGATTCTTACTGTCATGTATCTCCTGTCACCGATTATTGTAAAGAGAAAGAGAGAGAGATGGAGGGAGGGAGGGAGGGAGTGAGAGAGAAATAATTCGAAAGAAGAAAATACTTTGCAGACTTAAAATTGAAAACAAATTCCAGATGACAAGCCCTATCGTCCTAAATAAGGACGGAAATGATAAAGGTTCTCACTTTTACAGCAGGCTTTCAATGCATGACGGACAAGGCAGGTTGCACCCAGTAGGCTGGCGTTTCATTCTGTGGATAACTGGTTAACAACTAAAGCTACGGGATCAAATCTATTCTGCTATTCAACACATATCTCCGATTTCACATTCCCAATATCTGTCTATATCTAGTATCAATATCTAGTATCTCTAATATATGAGGTATTATGATTACTTACATTATATACATTATTCGCACTGTTACCCTCATCTTCATTGCCATATTCACAACGTTTCAGTCGTTGTACGCTTGGAATTTCATTCACCGGGGTTGATTGTTCTAGTTTCACGTGCCATGTCTCTTCCGGGTGTCTCAGTTATTTCCCTTTAACTCAACTCTTCTGGTATTAATCTAAAAAATCTTTGGGTCTTTTCACTGGATCTAACCAACGTCTTTATGTGCTGGGCCATGGTCGGCTCACGAGGTTTTTGTGGTCTTGCATATGTACTGATTCCTTAAGTTTTCGTATTATCCAGTGATGCTCTCTGTCTATTATTTCAACCTCATACTACAGAGGGCGGGGATCACTTTTCCCTCCATATGTGGTCAGCTACGCCTGATTTTTCTATTTCCCCTTGAGTTACCACTTTACGATGTTCTTGCAGTCTTACCTTAAATCTCCTGAGCCGACCAAACATAGACATGAATACAATATGGGAACCAGTAATAAGGAGTGCTAGAGAAAAGCAATGAATAACAATAATAACTGCAAAATAAGCTCTGCTAAAAAAATGCAATAATAATAACAGAAAAATTGCAATATGAGCACTGGTAAAAATGGTTGCTGAGACAAGGACACATAGCCCAGTGGGTAAAGACATTGGTTAGATCGAATGATTAGACCCAAAGAGTTGTGATTTCAATACCAGGCCACAGCAGTGAATAGTTGTGTTAAAGGAAAATAACTGAGACATTCGGGAGAGGGATGGCACGTGGAACTAGAAAGAGTTCGGTTCGAAATTCCAATCGGTGCGTACGGTCAAAACGTTTTATATAGTAATTCACATTATCAGATGTTATTAATTCCATAACAGGCTTTAAGAAAGAAAGTAAAAGGCAAGAATTGAAGGAATAACAGAAGTAAAGAAAATTGTGAATAGAAAAGAATAAATTGGCATGTCAATGATTATTGAAGTTTTTGGAACTGTGTAAAGGATTATTGATAGGGCAAAATATTAAAGCATTTATCAAAATCAGGTAGAATATTGAGGAAGTGAGAAAATACAAAAAGCATTACTCAAAATAGGAGAAGGCTTAGAAACGCGGAATTACAATCCAAGACTTTAATAAATCAACGAGGTGCCTGAGTGTAATTAAACGATATAATATATGTTGAAGGAAGTGAAGGGACAATGAAATACCATTATGTAAGAATACTGTAGATAAAGGGAAATAAATTGCAATATGATCTCTGGTAAAAAAAAATGTAATGCAAAAACAAACAACAACAAACAAATCCTGTTACCCTTTAGGACCTTTTTGGTTTCATATATACTATACGTGTAGCAACAACTGTTGTGTCGAAGGCAAAATAATTAGTTGGTCGCGCCCATCTCCTTTCCAAAGTACATGGAGTTACAGGAGTTAGATGGTAACGGCAGCAAAGAGTAATTCCTGATTTGATTTATTTAGAAAGCGAATTGCGTCTACCTGTCCAAGCGCAAAGACTTTGAATTAAATCATCTGATCTGGCTGCTGGGGTAAAAGAGACTGTTTCATGCCTTTCCCAAAGGTAATAGTGCGAATAAGGACGTAACTGACTCGGCCAGAATTCGAAATCGGTTCATCGATTCTATTTACCGTGATTTTTACTTTATCCGCACAACCGCATAGATCATCATTACTGAAATCAACGAGAAACTGTAAAAAAAATGGACGAGAAGTGACAATGAAACACAATTACTAAAATCAATCAATTTACAAATGCGCGTTTACTGTTAATGAAAATGAAGAAAATGAAGATTTATTCAATTTTGAAGCCTTCGTAATTATACACTTCAGTAAAAATCATAAAAACATTTCAGATGATGGATGAGGAATGTCGTCAAGAATTATATAAATTACTAGAATAGCAAATCTATTAAACCAAAAAGAAATATTAAATACAATAATTTATTCTTAAAACCTTTTTCCTGATTTTTAATGCATTTCTTTAATAATATTATTTACCAAACATTTATTTCGTAAAATTATTTAGAAAGTATTTCGACAGAAAAATCACTCACAGCCCTAATTACTTTTCATACATATTGTAAAAATATTTCCTTTTCATTTTTATAGTACAATAATTTTTAATATATAACTATAGTAAATCATTTATACCCTTTTTTTTACAGTAAAATCATTTCGAAATCATTTATATTATCCATGTAATAGTCGTATTCTTCAGTAAATCTGATTGATCGATTCGTTTTCTACGGTTTATCGATCCTTTGCAGGTTATTTAAAGCCAGAAAATGTTTTTTTAAATTTTGATAATTTTTGAAGATAATAATGATTTAGTGGTACAATTCTTACTAATTAACCCATAGGTGGGGAGAATAGGAGGATATATAACTTTCCCAATAGGATTTGCGTGTAAGTGAATATACCGAACCCGACTGAAATTGGAAGTCGGCACTCTGATTAACAATTGAGAGCCATTATCCATTACACCAACCGCACATCCAAACTTACAGCACCTGATGTTCCCAAAACGGTCACCCATCTAGATACTAACCAGGCTAAACGTTGCTTAACGTCGGTGATCGTGTGGGAACCGGTGCTTTAACATGATGTATCTGTAAGCTTTATCGTATCTGGGTTCAGTTCTTATTAAGTTTATATAAAATGAGTTAATTCTCATGACTAAAGATATTACTTATCAACCTATCCATGTTTTTCTTTTCAATCATTTCTAAAGACCGTTTCTCAGGAAATTCTTTGCTCCTCTCTCCACTCTTTAACCTTCCATTGAATTAATCAGTCATGACAATGGTTCCTGCGATTGGCATATTTACTCAGACATCTTGACACTCTCGCACATTCCTATACGCTGCCAACGGCGACAATAGTCCCTGACGTTAACACGTTTCTTCACACCATTCATGTCAACTCAAGTCAACACCATTCCCATATGATTCGCATTCAGTTTGTCACCAATGCAAACATCCATTATTTCATATGGTGAATCTTCAGCTCACTAAACAATATGAGCCAACTTAATCAGATCTCAAACTCGCACCGATATCTTCATGATCATATTATACATTATTTCAGCACGTTGTACACAACTAGTAATAATTAATCTTTCATCATTGTTATTGCTAGTATCTAGTTTGAATTATTCAATAAGAACTTAGTTTTAATACGTCTTTTAACTTCTTTGCCTCTTCTGCGGGAATAATTTCCCCTACTTCTTCAATGTGCCGCATCTTTTCAGGACGTGGTCACAATGGCTCTCCTAAAGACTCTATCCCTTGTGCCCGCTGCCAGTGTTTCTCTTTTTGCCAAAACCACCCCCGCCCCCGTTTCACCCTCAATTTACACAAACCGCCAGGTAGTTGAGTCCCTACCTTCCCCTAGCTCATTTTCTCTCAATAACCCTAACCCTGCAATAAGAAATTCCAGCTGTATTTTTCTGATTCTGTTTTCTTTTAAGACTTCTTCGTTGCTTACTCACCACTGTTTATGAAATTCTCAGTATCCTTCTGTAGAACAACATAACAGTTGCCACCACTGTAAGGAGATTGTCTAGCATTCACAGCCATATGAGAGGATGGATATCACATAGCGATCCACTTTGTTTCTAACGAAATTTTTATGTTTTTTATGTTTATGTTTATTACAGTATATTGGTATAATTGTTCTAGTTTATTTTTAAATATCTTATTGTGCATAATTTTATTACTTCAACGTTATTTTTAGTCGATGACCCTATTTGAGTAGACGCGTTGTTTATTTATTAAACGGTATATTTATTTATTTTCAAATTCCGGCCTGAACATTCGAGCAATCTTATCAAAAAAAAAAAAAAATGCCCTCTCTGGCAGAATTTAAACCTGTGTTCCTTTAGGAGAAACCGCCCGTCATTAGACCTGACGTGCTTTGAAACCTCGGCTACAATATATATATATTACGACTAGAGCCGTTATTTCTTTGGATTTAACGTTATTAAGCGTCTTTTGCTACAAGCAATCTATGACCAAGCAAAGCCTGAATAGTGCTGTTAAACATAGATTTTTCCCCGATTCTCGAAATATACATGTCTGCTCCTAAAATTCCTTTGTTTCCGTTCGGATACAAAACTAAACAGAAAAAATGCAGCGAAAGTTAAGCAACTTAGTAAGTGCCAACATGTGTGGGGAATATTTTGCGATGTTTAGAAAAGAATATTTAGTGCTTAAGAATAATGACTAGACTGAAAGACTCTCACGAATTTGGAAACTGATGAAATGGAGAAATATTCGATGGTAGCTGCAGCCGATAGATTAAATATTATTGAATAATTAGAACTGAATTAACCAAATAAACATTATTGACAAACCTTAGAAAAATTTGATGAAAATCGATTCTCTAGGAAGTTATAGAAACACCATCGCCATTTTCTTTTTGCGTAACACAGTAAAAGTTATGTTTGAACAAAATATAATGAGGGACAATAGCAAGAAACCAAAATGAATGAAATTGTGTATGGATTCTAAACATCTACATTTAAAATATTTCAACGTCTACAGAATCTACGGGCAAAGTGGTGCTTTCGCTTTGTGTTTCGTGAATTGTAAAAATATAAAAGATTTTGTCAATAAAACAATCAATAAAAATAAAGATTGGCGCGAAAAATAGAATTAGTAGGCGTAGTTTAAATTTCATTCAATTTACAATTTCACTAATTAACTCTGGACAGGCATGGATTCATCATATCTCCATCAAATTATGGATTAACTAGCGAGTATCGATAGATTAACAAGACTAGAGATAATGCAACTCTGAATTTAAACCCTTGTTAACGGACTAATTTACTCCTCGTGTCTGATTGACCTCGTTCAAGTACCGAGTCCTACACCGGAGCAAGAAAGTTTCTGATACAATAAACAACACACACACACACACACACACACACACATATGTGCGTTTGTGCGATTTTTAATTTATCTTGTTTAAACGTTATTTTTTATGGGTACTCATATTCACGCAGTAGACCTGCTTTTTTTTAAATTAAACAGTATTTTAGATGTAATTCGATAAAAATTCATTTTTAATTAAAAAAAACAGAGCCTCTACTCGAATATGAGTATTCATAAAAAATAACGTTGAAACAAAATAAATTAAAAATAACGATCTGTAAGATTTAATCCATTTACCATACACACACACACACGCACACACACACACACACATAATATATATATATATATATATATATATATATATATATATATATATACAAATCAATTATGTGGTGCAGTTCAGTTTATATTACATGAATCATTCATACAAAAAGCAGATTAGTAAAGTTAATGCTATAAATGGCGAAAAATAAACATATTTCGTTTCACATCTACTTTTTCGTGTTCCGTTAGTGGAGTAGAGCAGGTAATATAAAAAAATGGAGTATATGCCGGTTACACGACTCGGAATTTAACCATTAGTTTTTTCAGGTGGTATTAACAAATTATATTTTTAAACGCTCCGTTTATACACCTAACACCATAAGAGAAATAAGCAAGAAGTGGAGGTGAGCGGTAAGAGTAATACGAACCGGAAGGGAGGAAAATTATTTACTGTTGGATGCACTCTCATCCGGGGTCGTACAGGCCCAAAATATATTTAGACATTTACCTCTTACCTTTCGTCCAACAAGCCCTCTCGGGCCAGGCACGCCACAACAGCCAGCCCCGCCTCCCGACACAACTTTCAAACACCTCCACCAACGCTGCAGGACTGGAACAAAAACGAAAGTGAAAGAGTACCGGACGTGTATGCTGACTATCCTGCTATACTCACTAGACAATTTACCGTCGTCACCTTAGAGGGTTTGAGCGATTTTATCAGAAATGTCAGAAGATCTTTTACATTAAATTGCAATTAATTACATCTGATGCCGATGTTTTTCAAAAGGCCGGTTGTCCGAGTGTAGAAAATATGTTAATTGACTATTAGATACGTTCGAGGCATAAGCCAAGGAAGAGGCTCAAGGTTTATCTGAAAAGTTATCTAAAGGAGATTATTTTGGTTGTTGAGAATTGGGAAGAGATGGCGGAGAATCGCACTGAGACAGCCTTCTCATGGAGTGCCAACTTCGCAACCAGCTGGTACATTTTGTGTAATTTGCGGCTAGGTCCGCAAATCTACGGCTGCGTTGAAAAGCCACATGGTAATGCATAAGGAACAGATATTAAAACAATACACACACACACACATACATATCTATCTATCTATCTATCTATCTATCTATCTATCTATATATATATATGGAAGTCGTCTGAAGATCGCGTGAGCGTGAAACTTGTGTTACGACTAGGGCCATCCTTTCATTGGATTTAACGTTGTTAAGCGTTTTTTACTCTGTCTAGGCCATCCAGGCTTCGAACTCTTCACTTGACTGAGAAGGTAAATTTGGTTTTAGGCGTTTTTACGCTTTCTTTTTCAGTATTGTCTGTTTTATTCGAGACTTTATTTGTATAAGAATTTTAAAATTTTGGCATGTTGTACGTTTGTTTTTCAACAGCAACAGAAGCCTTGTGGATGCGAATATGTATTTCAGCATCCAGCGATCGATCCCATGACAAGATACTACCAAGGTACACAAAAGTACGCACAACGCCCAATCTAGTGCCATTGACGTAAATATTAGGTTTGCTGTAAGGTGCATCAAGTAGAGGAGTAAACATCACTTTCATTTTTGTTTTAAGACTAATTGGAAGTCCGAACGCAGAAGATGCCGTTCAGAATCTGTCCACCGTCACCTGCATGTCCTTCTCAATCTTTGTAACAAAGTCAGCGTCATCAGCATATAATAATTAACGCGCAAATATCTGGAAAGTCTTGGCATTAAATCTTCTTAAATTGAATACCCTCTTAGTAGTTCTAAAACGAATGCTAATCCCGATGATGCATTCGCGAGAAGTATACGAAAGCATGACCGCGAAATATATGGAAAACAGGGTGGGTGCGAAAATGTCGCCCTGCTTTACACTATTGTCCATGACAGTTATCGCCTGACAGTTCTCGCCTGGCAGTTCCCTCATTAAATGAAACACGCGCTTTCATAATATGATGGAGTTCCTTAAACATGCCGATGAAAGAGGGTAGGCATCCCAATTTACCAAGAATCCTTCACAGATTATGTCGATTGACAGTATCGAAGACCCTCGTTAGGTCTACGAAGACTTGATATAGGGGAACGTTTGGCTCTATACGTTTTCCTGTAGTTGACTTACCATTGGACACACATACATCAACCCGTTGAAAACATCTTGCCAACAGTTTCAAGTCGTATGATTCCATAATGGTTATCACGATGGTTCACTTACACTTGAATAGTAACCAGCATACCATCAATTCAATTCCTTTCTTGCAATTTCGAATCGGTAAACAATCGATTTTACACTCCCACCCACCTCTGCAGCAATTCCGCTGGTATGCTATCGAAACCAGGCGATTTACCTGTTTTGGTCTGACTAATAGCAATGTCTGTTTCTACTTTTGATGGTAAAACACCTAACTCCACAATAAGGTCGTATTGTGGTATACTTTCTTTAGCAACCTCATTAACAACTGATGGGTTGA